GATGTGAGTTGGAGGAAAGGTTGGTGGTATTTCAGGAGCTCGCAGTTCCATTGGCCTATGGAGTCTCCACCACCATAAGGAGGTTCTTGATTTCTGCTGATTCATCACTAGTCTACATATATACCCTGTTTGATTTGTTATTGGCCTGTGACTTGCCAGTGTCTCCCCTTCTTCACCAGAGTGTGTCCTGTCCTCCTCTTCTCATAGGTGAGAACATCTCTTTTCCTCCTCTCTGATCTTGATCACACAGAAAATAAAGTCTGGATGTGTCTTATTGATAAATAAAGAAATACAAAGTCTCACTGTGGGTAGTTGTTGTACCTATTAATTAAGACTTACACAGTGGGTGCACATGTAGACTGTGATGATAAGGTAATTTCATGGCTACATTTACACTGATATGCACTAACAGATAGCATCTGGAAATTATCACACTAAGTGACGCATGTCACAAGATCACTACATTTTACCTGTCAGTACAGGTGAATACATTGAGGTAAATATATCATGCTTTCCTCCTGACAGCCAGTGGTTACTATGAGAGACAAATTAGACTAGACAGAATGATGTGGCCCATAGGGGGAAGGCTCCTGCTCACAGGCTTTACTCTAGCATGGAAGGCGGTTGATGACATTGACTTAGCTATACACATACCAAAGAGTTGAGTTTCTGATCGTTTGCTTTTTGTGGTATTTAACACTTATCTTTTTTGAGTGATGTATGTTGCTCCAATAGTCAATGTGAATAACTGTTATGGATAACAATATGGGATTTGTGATGGAGATTTATAACTTAGATTATAACTAGTATGCGGTAATTATGTTACAGCAGACAGTGTTTACTGAATGGGGCTTTGGGGCCATTGGTTTGTGGCCAGTTCCTCTTGGGTTACAGCTAAGAAATGGCTGTGGGCTAAAAACATTTGGTAGGTCACAACACCAAGGGTCGTGGGGTCGATTGAGCTGGGGCCACCCATACCAAAAGTGTATGCACGCATGACTGTAAGTTGCTTTGGATAAAAGCACCTGCTAAATGGAATATATTAACATTATATTAAAGTATAATTTTCTTGAAGTATGGAAGCTCTACAGTTATGACATGTCAATCTTGTGTTAGAAAGTAACAGCTTAACACAACTTTTGCTTCCCATGTATGCTCCTAGTTGAGCAGATTGGAAAAGGATGTGCTTGCAAGAGTTTTTATTCACTATTTCTCTGTTTGCTGAAGTATATAATAGTACCATTTATTTTATCAATTGATATGACTGAATATGAACCTATTTGAACTGAATGTGTCATTGATTATAAACTACAGAAAACAGAGAAGTTCTTAAAAAATTAAGACAAACATACGTATTTCCTATTCTTAACATTGATATTCATTGCTGCAGTGTGGTTAAACAACAGTGTCTCACAACATTTGAGTCATTCTGATGACCATACCGTATTATTTATCATAATAATCAAATATTCAATTGAAAGGGCTTTTCAAAGACATGTAATGATAGGGTTCGCTGAGGACGCAAGTTGTATTGATATGAGTGATACCCAAGATGTTCTCAGGGTAGAGCAGGACATTGACGCCTGCTGAGGTTTTGTCAGTTAATGACATCAATAAATTAACAGCCCATGAATGTCAGTGGTGACTCCAGTCTCCAGCTGTCCAAATGTAGCCTGATCATAATTGCTCCAAAAGGTCTTAACAGTAAACTGGATCAGGTTTCCCCTCCCTTCCTTGAAGAGTCCAGATTGCTCCATTAGCAGCCAGTGTTCATTAATCAATCTTGAGCTGGATACAAGAGCCTTTGCTAATTTTAGGCTATAGGCTTATAAGGCAGATAGCACCATGCAGTGCACACTATTGCTAAAAACATTTATCTTGCCTGTTGTGTCTTTTTGTTACAGAGTCTGAAGCACACATTCCGCCATCATGTCTGAGTAAGTATCTATTACCATGTTGTTTGCGACAGTTTGGTGTTAGAAAGTAATGATCCTGTTGAAAAAACTAATGATAGTCCCACTAAGCCAAAACCAGATGGGATGGCGTATTGCTGCAGAATGCTGTGATTGCCATGCTGGTTAAGTGTGCCTTGAATTCTAAATAAATCACAGACAGTGTCACCAGCAAAGCACCCCCACCCCATAACATCTCCTCCTCCATGCTTTACGGTGGGAAATACACATGCAGAGATCATCCGTTCACTGACACCGCAGATACGGCGGTTGGAACAAAAAATCTCCAATTTGAACTTCAGACCAAAGGACAAATTTCCACTGGTCTAATGTCCATTGCTCGTGTTTCTCGTCCCAAGCAGGTCTCTCCTAATTATTGGTGTCCTTTACTAGTGGTTTCTTTGCAGCAATTCGACCATGAAGTCCCATCTGAACAGTTGATGTTGAGATGTGTCTGTTACTCGATCTCTGTGAAACATTTATTTGGGCTGCAATTTCTGAGGCTGGTAACTCTAATGAACTTATCCTCTGCAGCAGAGGTAACTCTGGGTCTTCCATTCCTGTGGCGGTCCTCATGAGAGCCAGTTTCTTCATAGCGCTTAATAGTTGTTGCGACTGCACTTGAAGAAACTTTCAAAGTTCTTGACATTTTCCGGATTGACTGACCTTCATGTCTTAAAGTAATGATGGACTGTCATTTCTCTTTGCTCATTTGAGCTGTTCTTGACATAATATGGACTTGGTATTTTACCAAATAGGGCTATCTTCTGTATACACTCCTACCTTGTCACAACACAACTGATTGGCTCAAATGCATTAAGAAGGAAAGAAATTCCACAAATTAATTTTTAAGAAGGCACACCTGTTAATTGAAATGCATTCCAGGTGACTACTACATGAAGCTAGTTGAGATAATGCCAAGAGTGTGCAAAGCTGTCATCAAGGCAAAGGGTGGATATTTGAAGAATCTCAAATATAAAATATATTTAGATTTTTTTAAACACTTTTTTGGCTACTACGTGATTCCATATGTGTTATTTCATAGTTTTGAAGTCTTCACTATTATTCTACAATGTAAAAAATTGTCAAAATAAAGAAAAACCCTTGAATGAGTAGGTGTGTCCAAACTTTTGACTGGTAGTGTATATAATATGTGAAACGTAATATTTACTTATGACTAAATGTTTTAATTGCATAGCAATTGAGTAGAATACTTGATACCACTAATGATACCACATTGCTCCTTACCTCCCTAAATACTATTGGGTTTGAGTCTTTATTTTTTCAACAACAATGTGAGAAAAATAAAAGTAAATTAGATATTTCTTGACCTTTCTATTATTTTCAGCATGCCATAGAATATCACTGATGCAACCCTTGGTCAGCGTATTGACCAGTCATGCCCCCTCATCATATTAACCAGTATGTCAAACTCCCCATTATTCACAGGAAAAAAATGACCTCGAGCCGTAAACATCATCTGAAGGTAAACCAACACATTTCATTGTGACAACTTTCCACAGTGCCTTCAGAAAGTATTCACACCCCTTGTCTTTTTCTACATTTTGTTGTGTTACAGTCTGAATTTAAAATTGATTAAATGAAGAGTTTATGTCACTGGCCTACACACAATACCCCATAATGTCAAAGTGGAATTATGTTTTTTGACATTTTTAGAAATTAATTAGAAATGAAAAGCTGAAATGTCTTGAGTCAATAATTATTCAACCCCTTTGTTATGATAAGCTTATATAAGTTCATGAGTAAATATTTGCTTAACAAGTCACATAATAAGTTGCATGGACTTTGTGTGCAATAATAGTGTTTAACATAATTTTTTTATGACTATCTCATCTCTGTATCCAAGACATGCAATTATCTGTAAGGTCCCTCAGTCGAGCAGTGAATTTCAAACACAAATTCAACCACAAAGACCAGAGAGGTTTTCCAATGCCTCACAAAGAAGGCACCTATTGGTAATGGCAAAAAAAAAAAAGAAATAAAAAAAAAGCTGACATTGAATATCCCTTTGAGCATGGTGAAGTTGTTAATTACACTTTGGAGGGTGTATCAATACACCCAGTCACTACAAAGATACAGATAACTCAGTTGCCGGAGAGGAACGAAACCGCTCAGGGATTTCACCATGAGGCCAATGGTGACTTTAAAACAGTTACAGAGAATAATGGCTGTGATAGGAGACAACTGAGGATGGATCAACAACATAGTGGTGGCTGCATCATGTTATGAGTATGCTTGTAATCGTTAAGGACTGGGGTGTTTTTCATGATAAAAAAGAAACGGAATGGAACTAAGCACAGGCAAAATCCAAGAGAAAAACCTGGTTCAGTCTGCTTTCCACTAGACACTGGGAGATTAATTCCCCTTTCAGCAGAACAATAACATAAAACACAAGGCCAAATCTAAACTGGAGTTGCTTACCAAGAAGACAGTGAATGTTCCAGTGGCCAAGTTACAGTTTTGACTTAAATCTACTTGAAAATCTATGGCAAGACCTGAAAATGGTTGTCTAGCAATGATCAACAACCAATTTGACAGAGCTAGAAGAATTTTGAAAAGAATAATGTGTAAATGTTGCACAATCCAGATGTAGAAAGCTCTTAGAGACCGACCCAGAAAGACTGAAAGCTGTAATAGCTGCCAAAGGTGCTTCTACAAAGCATTGATTCAGGCGTGTGAATACTTATGTAAATTAGATATTTCTGTATTTAATTTAAGTCATTTCTAAAAAAATGTTTTTACTTTGTCATTGTGGGGTATTGTGTATAGATGGGTCAGATTTAAAAAATATATATATTTAATCCATTTTGAATTCAGGCTGTAACACAACAAAATGTGGAATAAGTGAAGGGGTATGAATACTTTATGAAGGCACTGTAAGTATTCTTATGGAGTTATGTGCAAAGATGACGTTTTGTCGATGCGTTTGCTTAAAAGCGGTATATTGCTCTGGGTATGACAATGTACATATCGACCTCTTTGTCCTCCATAATCTTTAAGCATCAGAAACAAGCTAGTGTGTCATAAATGTACACCAAACCAAGTACTAGACTGGCTTTGGCCTCACTATGTTTCTTTGTCCTCCAGAGCTTGATGCTCCAGATTGCGGCTAATATGATTGAGACTGAGAAAAAGGAGGCTAAGCAGGAGAAAGACAATTTCATGGCTGCGATCCCCGCCCTGGATTTGTCTGGAGACCAAGCGGCGCTGGTGGTATGATACTAGTCATTCATTCCTTTACAAGTTCCACAAAGCTACTCTGATCTATTCAATATATCACAATGTACACTGAGTGTATAAAACATTAGTAACACCTGCTCTTTCCATGACAGACTGAACAGGTGAATCCAGGTGAAAGCTATGATCCCTTATTGATGTACATTTTTTAATCCACTTCAATCAGTGTAGATGAAGGGGAATAGACAGGTTAAAGAAGGATTTTTAAGCCTTGAGACAATTGAGACATGGGTTGTGTATGTGTGCCTTTTAGAGGGTAAATGGGCAAGACAAAATATTTAAGTGTCTTTGAACGGGGTATGGTCGTAGGTGCCAGGTGCACCGGTTTGAGTGTTTCAAGAACTGCAACACTGCTGGGTTTTTCATGGTCAACAGTTTCCCGTGTGTATCAAGAATGGTCCACTACACAAAGGACATCCAGCCCACTTGACACAACTGTGGGAAGTATTGGAGTCAACATGGTCCAGCATCCCTCTAGAACGCTTTTGACACCTTGTAGAGTCCATGCCCCAACGAACTGAGGCTGTTCTGAGGGCAAAAAGAGGGTGCAACTCAATATTAGGAAGGTTCCTAATATTTTGTACACTCAGTGTAAGGCAAAGCCTTTATCAGTGTGTGGAATGAAAGGTAGGGCAGCTCTCTCTCTAGATAGCTGTTGCCTGCAGAAAGTTGTTAATTCCACACACTTTAGATGCTGGTGCCATGCTGGTGCCTCTTACAAATTATCTGTGATGTGTTTGTGTGCCAACAGGAAATGCTCAAAAAGTTGGCCCAGACCGTCGACAAGGTTGATGAGGAAAGATATGACGCAGAAGCAAAAGTAAAGAAGTCAGAAAAAGAGGTACAGTACATTACATTACATATTTTCCTCCTCCTAGAAACATATACCTCTGCAAATCTAATCTTTCTCCTCACTTTCTCACTTCCCAGATTGAGGACTTGAAGATGAAAGTGGTTGAGGTCCAGGGCATAAAGAAACCAGCTCTGAAGAAAGTGCGTTTGTCTGCTGATGCTATGCTTGCAGCTCTGCTGGGCACCAAGCACAAGGCTTCCATGGACTTTAGATCCAACTTGAAAGAAGTGAAGAAGGAGGTCAAAGAGGAGGTGGGTATTTGTGTGGAATCTTACAAAGCAGAGAATCATAGTACTGTAGGAGATGGCAACATTTGTCCCACGTGTTCAGAGCTTTGATGAAAGGATCAGTTACATGTGTTTCATATTATATCCTCAAACACTGAAAATGTCACAACATAAACTTTGTGTCACGCAGGAGGAAGTTGGTGACTGGCGTAAGAACGTTGATGAACAGGCTGGCATGGATGGCAGGAAGAAGAAGTTTGAGACCGCATAAATGACTGAATTAGTTCTGGTGTTCAAAACTGGCTACTGAGTGATTCATGTATCTTTTTCATTATTTTATGGTACTGTTAGAGAGTATAGCATCTGATAAGCACTTATACTAACTGTAAACTGTCATTGAATTGTAGCATATTTTCCAAATGTATAGGCTTATCGGAAATTTATTCAACTGCCAAACTGCGGTAATTAAATAAATGTTGGCAACATGGAGAAATGGTATACATTCGGTGGTCCTGTGTTGTGTTCAATTTTGTTACCCCTTTCAAATTTGGTCCCTCAATGCTTTTGGATGTAAGGTGTTCTGAAGTACGGTTGCAAAAAAGTTGACTTTCCGAAAGATCTTATTCCCTTCTGATTTCGGGAATCTTCCAACCAGGATTTCTGGAAAACCTGGACATTATGGGAACGTTACATGAATTTTGTAACCCTATTCTGGAGAAACCTAGATCAGCTTGGGTCAAGGCTATCTTAATACTGTAAAAACAAATCTGAGTTATAAACCACAAGATGTCAGTATAGTAGAACATTCTTTCTCTTTCTGATGACCCTTCCTCTTCCTTTCTTTCACTCTACCCCTCTCTCTCCTCTTTCTCTGACTGATTCCTCTTTGACCAACAAACAGGTATGTCGTCTTTGACAAACATTCAACAAACGCCCCCCCCATAACCTTTCAATTTGAAACTATGGCAATGGAAAAAGGGAGGCAGTTAGTGAGTTTTGAACAAACGAGGGCAATCTGCACCAAATTCAGTTATTACGTGTTATTTATTATTTTGTTTAACTATATTTGTCATGTGTGGGCCTGTTTAAGCGCTCAACTTATTAGCAATGTGGCCTAACATATAATCCATAGTTGCTGTGCTTTTAGGTTTGAAGGAAATATGATGGAATTGAGGTTGATTGTGTTTTGTCTTTAAGACAATAGATCAATTTCTGATTTCAATACAATTTCAATATCTGAGTACTTCATTGTTTCGATAAAAGTATAACTTTTGAAAATGTATTAAGATTGTAAAGTACTTTGTTTTCTGGAATTGATAGTATGATTCACTTGTTTAATTATATTACTATGATTCACTTGTTTAATTAGACTCCAACTAAATGATTACACATTTAAACATCCAAAAGGAACTGAAAGTCAATGTTTTCCAATACTTAAATGTGTTATCCATGTTGCCCGTGAATGTCTTAGACATAGAATAACTTCACTCATATCTATAATTACTTTCCCTATCTCTCCCATACTGAACTGTAATTATATACTCACTGCCCAGAGGAACATACATGTATGTATTGGAAGGCATATTGAAGGAAATAATATTTATGAGGTGAACAGGGTTGGGCAGAGTGTATTTCAGGAGCTCGATGTTCCATTGGTCTGACATGGAAACCACTTCCATAAAGAGGACCCAGTGCTTCTGCTGATGTATCACCCAACACCATATATACCGTATTTCCTGTTTCACTGCCTGTTGCTTGCCAGTGTGCTAGTCTTCCCTTCTTCCTCCAGGTGTGTCCTGCCCTCCTCCTCTTCCTTTCATAGGTGAGAATCTCTCTTTTCATGTTTCTCTATCACACTCTCTGAGTATGTAGCATCACTGGGATTAAAAGCACAAAGAAATAGAAAGAGACTAAAAAGCCTCCCAACAGATGGCAATCTTAACAATCAAACACACTCATTGCACATTGGTGTCTTACTGTACATCACTTTATGGATCATAACAAATTGAACATATGGAACAGATGTATTCACCTGGCAATACAGTTGAATACATGTCATGTTTTCCCTCTGACAGTCAGTGGATACTGATAGAAAAATAAGGTTGTCTTGACAGAATAATGTGCGCCATGGCCTCTATGTTTGTATTCAGATGTATAGAGGTAGATAGAAGATTGTGAAACTTTGGCTAGGGTTCTGGTTAGGGGCGATACTCTAGCAGTAAATAGATTTCACCTAAATCCAGACCTCTGAGTTATTGAGTTTCAGATAGAGATCTCAGGCACAGGATGTACTGTGTCAGATTTAGTGATTATATTAGGATTAATTCAATATAAAATTGAATGTATAAAGTGTCATACATTCAGGGATGGAGATGTGAGAGTTATTCATTTTCCATTCAAGAACGTTGGTATGCGTTTATTTGAGGAGTTGGATGTTGTAACAGCTTTGTGATACTGAATAGTAGACAGCATGCTGTGCCATGTTAATTGTAATGTTAAACAAGAAGAGAAAGGTAAACTAGTTTTGCAAGCGATCTTTCATCAGTCTTGGCTTGCTAAATTGTATACTTGACTTAATTCGATGATTTGAAATTTAAATAATTGATTAGATTAGATTAGATTGTGAATGAATGGGAAAGTAAAGTGTCAGATGTTCTCAGTTCACAAAAGTGGTTTAATTAATTAGTTAAATCCATTTAGACATTGCCTATCTTTCTAATTAACTTAGAGCTCAGGCATGTAGCTGGATCCAGACAACAGATGGAATTGGACGTGGGCCATCTCCACATAATATCTTTTTTGAGGTTTGAAAACATTTGAATAAACTTTTAACTGAGACTTACTGTAAATCTTGGGGAGGAAAAATAGCAAGCTATTATATTTGTTGATTAAGTGTAACTATCTTTATTCAACACCACCACATCTGTCTGCAGAATGAAGAAGATGCTGTTGATTTATGTGATTAGGAAATATTTTCTGATACACGGCACCACGGCAGGTTCATAAATCGAGACTTGTGTCTTTGAATGCAGCAGCAGTTAAAGTCTGTTGGGGAACACTTGGCCAAACTAGTTTCTTAGGGGAAACATTATCCCATTTCAGAGTTAGAGTCTGGAGTGATTCTGAGCATGCTAAATTTGGACTGCTAGAGTCAGGTGTCATCTCTGACTTTTTTTTATGGTTGATGGTTGTTAGCTTGTGAAACCCTATCAATCTTCAGCTAAATATCACAGCATGATCTTTAGACCAGACATGTCTCTCGCTTTTGCACTTATTGCACCCTAATGATATTATAAAAGGTTTTTATCATAAATATCAAAACAAGTTTTCTTTCCCTCTTCTGTCTTCTATTCAGGGTGTGAAGCACAACAACAGCCAATATGTCGGAGTAAGTCTTGACATTCAGTTTATCTTTTTTAAATTCACTAAAAGTGACATTCCAGACTTTCAGCCTGACACAAAACATGTCCGATCCAGCCATAAGTTCTGTCAGTAATGCAAATACCGCTTATATCCCTAACAACATGTCAAATCCACCTTTCTTCACAGAAAAAAGATGACATCAAGTCGCAGGCATCATCTGAAGGTAAACCAATACAATGAATTGTGATCCATTGTCTGAAACAAGCATTACAGGCACATCAATACCCAGTACTTGACTAGATTCGTTTTGGCTTTCATTAGACTGGTTTAAAAACTTTTCAACCTCTTTAATACTTTAAAGGGGAAATCTACACTTCAAATAATAACAAAGTGAACACCTCAACACTGTTTTGGTAAAAAGCTAAGGGATGGTCCCGCATGGCTTAGCTGGTAGAGCATGGCTTAGCTGGTAGAGCATGGCGCATGCAATGCCAAGGTTGTGGGTTTGATTCCCACGGGGACCAGTAAGAAAAGTACAACAATTTATGCACTTACAGTAAGTTGCTCTGGATAAGTGTGTCTGCTAAATGACTAAAGTGGAACAAAACTAGTAGACCAGTTTATCTGACCCTGTTACGGTATTAAAATGGCTTGATGCAGAAATGGCATTAGAAATGGTCAGGAACAAAGAAGAATATGACATATTACACCTGAAATAAAATGTATCTACTGGAAATGTAGCCTATCCCAACTACGATCATTTAGTTAACACATTTATTTGCAGACAATTACTTCACCAAATTATACCTACATCGAGGCTACTCTTCAGCAAAAATAAAGTTATTGAAGACCAACTTTTAATTAATGACTACATCAAAAGTAATATGGAATGCAGCAACATGCGTTATAGACAAATAAAATATCTTAAAAAACGAAGCACTTTGCATCTGTTTCTTTGGTTAAGCTAACAACTTCCAAATCATAAGAAATTACTTTCCCAGCCACATTTCTTTCCAATTCAGACATTGTTTCTTCAATAAAGTACAATATGCCACAGTAGGCCTACTGGCCTTGTAGACCTGTCAGAAAATATAAAGGTTAATCTATTGAGTGTTATTACGTTGTTCAACAAATTAAGAAATAATCTCCGCTATCCATAAAACATAGGACATGTTAGGCTACTCTTATACCAGACTAACCACGAACGCGATAAAAAATTGTTAATATAATTTGTGCAACTTCAAATAACTTTTATTAGAATACAATTTGATTCAAAATACAACACAGTCACAATTTAGTTTCGAATGTCAAATGTGTAGCCTACAGTTCAGGATATTTAATTTTCCACTTTTGATAAGAAATGTCCATATTCGATTCAGACAAGTAAAATCATTATTGGATTACATAAATTAGAAACTAAATTTTTTTTCCTACACCATGAATTTTCCATTTATACAATGTGTGGGGTAGGCCATGTTGTCATAGTAGAATGGAAATGAAATACTTGATTTCAGTTATACGGAATGATTGTTATATAGATAAATCGGCTTTAGGTACAATTGCCGGATAAAATTGTTCCGATGATAATACCCACCAGAGGGCAACGTTTTCTTGAAAATGTTTGGTTGCAATGAGGACTAAAAGCACAGAGGAAGAGGCGAAGCGAGAGGGATAATCTGTCTTCTCCAACAGCATTTTTTTCCCGATTTCTTTCGCTCACCAAGCGATGAGATCAATGAGGTCAATGAGTGTCGAATTTGGTTAACAAAAAATGCAATGGCTTATTTGCTAGGTGTGGCTTATTTGATTGAATAGAAGTTGCACAATGATTAGATTGTTAGGAGTGTACTGATATAAGTAGGACAAGTGACATCCCAGCAACACTTGAGTCATTAACCCCGCCCATTTCTAAAATGTATCTTCATAAAAGGTCATTTTAAACCTAACTTTAACCACACTGCTAACCTTATGCCTACCCCTAACCTTAAATGTTTGTTTTCATGAATCTTTACAATATAGGGCGGCAGGTAGCTTAGTGGTTAAGAGTGTTGTGCCAGTACCCGAAAGGTCGCTGGTTCTAATCCCCGAGCCGACTTGGTGAAAAATCTGTCGAGCAAGGCTGCCCTTGAGCAAGGCACTTTACCCTAATTGCTCATGTAAGTCGCTCTGGACAAGAGCATCTGCTAAATTACTAAAATGTAAATATAATAGCCAATTTCGACTTTGTGGTAACTAGTGGAAACTGTTGTACCTGTTGTTCACACACGTATCTGCCCTCTCATTGGCTAGAATGTTCCTACCTGATTGTGTCTTCTGCCTTCCATTTCTGAAGACATTTATTTTCATTAGAGCAGCCACTAGAGTATCTGGTCAATATAATGGATAATCTGTGCCAAAAGATAACCCTAACATCTGAGTTAGGGAGTGGTAAATCAGTTGCCAATGCTGGTTACAATTGAAATCAGCTGAGCGGTTGAATTCAGTGCGTATTGATGGTTTAACAAGAGATGAACTGCCGATAATCTAGTGGCCAATTTTCTTTGCAAAAGGCCCAATGGGTATATATAATTAATTTAAAAGTCTAAAACTTGATATAGCGATCAAAGATTTCCACTTTAAGTAATATTTTGTTCACCAATACTATGTTGTAGACTGGGTTTGGCCTTACTATGTTTCTTTGTTCTCCAGAGCTTGGTGCTCCAGATTGCATTTGAGCTGATTGAGGCGGAGAAAAAGGAGGCTAAGCAGGAGAAAGACAATTTCATGGCTGAGATCCCCGCCCTGGATTTGTCTGGAGATCAAGCAGCGCTGGTGGTACGATACCAGTCATTCATTCCTTTACACAAGCTTCACACATCTAGTCCAATGTTTTAGGCCTGCAGTGTACCATTGGTGGTTCTTGTAATAAGCAATGTGGATTTGTATACAAAGTACACAGACTCCAATTTCTTTACTCTAAATAACTGTTGCCTGGAGAGACTGATTCCTTCAGGAGAGGAGAGTTTGTTGTACAAATTATATGACCGACGTGATTGTGTACCAACAGGAAATGCTCAAAAAGTTGGCCCAAACCATCGACAAGGTAGATGAGGACAGATATGATGCAGAAGCAAAAGTGAAGAAGGCTGACAAAGAGGTAGATTGTATTCCATCTTTCCTCATAATGAAACATATGCCTCTGCAAATCTAATCTTTCTCCTGACTTTCTCACTTCCCAGATTGAGGACTTGAAGATGAAAGTGGTTGAGATCCAGGGCATGAAGAAGCCAGCACTGAAGAAAGTGCGTATGTCTGCTGATGCTATGCTCCAGGCTCTGCTGGGCACCAAGCACAAGGCTTCCATGGATTTCAGAGCCAACTTGAAAGAAGTGAAGAAGGAGGTCAAAGAGGAGGTGGGTATTTGTGTGGAGACCTGCAAAGCAGAAAGTACTGTGTCCCGAATGTGTTCTGAGCATTGATGGTCTCAGTGTCTCATGTGGCTCAGTTGGTAGAGCATGGCACTTGCAACGGCAGCGTTGTTGGTTTGATTCCCACGGGGGAACAGTATGAATGAAAATGTATGCACTCATTACTGTAAGTTGCTCTGGATAAGAGTGTCTGCTAAATGACTAAAATAATAAATGAAATGAAAGGATCAGTTCATATTATATCCTCAAAATGTCTTTGACATATCCTCTATATGTAACATCACAAACTTTCTGTCATTCAGGCAGCGGATGCAGTTGGTGACTGGCGCAAGAACGTTGATGAACAGGCTGGCATGGATGGCAGGAAGAAAAAGTTTCCAGGGTTAAACACAGCCGTCTTTTGTCGTATTGTGGTATAGAGATGAATTTCAATGACCGTGTTGTTAGGCATCCCTGCAGGAAGAGGATCTTTGGTCCGAAATGCTGTTATTTTTTGATACTGTAGCTGTTCAACACTATGGTTTTGGATCTCTTTCTCTCTCTGTCTCTTCCCCATCCCCCCTCCCCCGCCAAATAAAACAATTCAAAATGTTTAAAAAGCTTGTGAATGTTTGTGTCATGCGTTTGCTTATATTTAGATCTGAAAATTGGACCTGTGCAGTGGCTAGATCCAATACAATAAATATAACTGGGACTTAGAGAACTCCATGGATGTAGATCAAGGCAAATTATCATTTACAAAATAAATATTGTTTGTTTGATCGTTTTTATAAAAAATAAAATATAGAGATACAACAAACACACAACCCTGGATTGAACAACCAATTATTATTTGGTAAGTAGCCAACCTCATTTTTCATCCAGATTAGGAAATTGTTGTTGATGTAATCAGTAGTTTGTAATTTACATTTTAGTCATTTAGCAGACACTCTTATCCAGAGCAACTTACAGTTAGTGAGTGCATACATTTTCATACTGGCCCCCCGTGGGAAACAAACCCACAACCCTGGCATTGCAAGCGCCATGCTCTACCAAATGAGCTACAGGGGACTAATACTGTTCTTAACATCTGTTGTGCTATTAGTTTTAGCCAGAGCCATATACAGTACACCAATGCGGTTAACGTTCAGAGAGAGAGACACTTTTTCCTCCACAGCCTTTGCTAAGTGATAATTAACACTTCTGTGTTGTGCTGTTTATTTCTGATCGTTTTCAAAACCTATGAAGATATCCAGTGAAAGCAGATATGCAATTTGTTGACACTAAAACACAGTAAAGACTTGGATACACAATATCCCGAATGCTAATCAATAAATACATGTGTTAAATTGCTGGTCTGTTTTGGTTGTTTACAGCAGGTCATTTCATAAGGAACTGTCGGAGGCGCTCTCCTATTGTTACAGCACCAACATTTCAAGAGTAAAGTTCTATATGGGTGCTAACATGGCGTCCGTTCTAAAACCTGGCCTAACTCTCTATGTGTATGGCTCTGGTTTTAGCTCATGGAAAGTGATTGGGAAATGGTCTTGTAATATTACTATACCATATTTGTTAACACATGAATACCCTTTAATAATAATATTACTACTACTACTACTACTAATAATAATAATAACTGGTTGCACTTATATAGTAATTTTTTTAGATGCTCAAAACACATTCCTCTGTGAAGAGGCCCTACACCAACAATCTAAACTGCCCGAAAGGCACCAATGCGTCCAAATGTAGGGTATTCTGAAGATTGTTCCATAAGTGAAGTGGGAATAAACTAAAAGCAGTTTTACCAAAATCTGTACTGACGGAAGGAATTGTAAGAGTTAGCCATCCCTGTAAGTGGGTATGGTATCTCGTAAAGATGACCAGAGTATGTAAATATATACTGAACAAATGTTACAGTTCAAATAAGGAAACAGTCAATTGAAATAAATTCATTAGGCCCTAATCTATGGATTTTACATGACTGGAAATACAGATATGCATCTTTTGGTCACAGATACCTTAAAAAAAAGTAGGGGTGTGGATCAGAAAACCAGTCAGGATCTGGTGTGACCACCATTTGCCCCATGAAGCGTGACACATCTCCTTCGCATAGAGTTGATCAGGCTGTTGATTGTGGCCTGTGTAATGTTGTCCGACTCCTGAGTAGTGGCGATTTTAGCATGTAAATCTTGGTGGGGCAAAAAAATGTATAATACTGGGGATGCATACCAGCAAAGCCACTACACAACACAACACTAAACAATACATTAATTGGACTATAACGGTGACGAACGGTGCCCACAAACTGTTAGGGCCTACATAAAGCTGTCCCAACAGCAGAGTCCCAACAGCAGTCCCAACACCTTACCACTGTTACACCTGGCTATCAGCAGAGCCTTGACTTGCAGCGAAACAGTTCATTCAGCCTCATTTATTGCCTTTTAAAAAAACATAGCTGATATGGCTGACTTGCTTAAACAAATGTGGTTTCTATTGACAATTGAGATATACAAACTATGGCATAAGGGGACGACGAGCAGATAAGAGGCAATCCAACATTTTGATTAGGACATTAATGAGTGAGCTAGGATGGATGTAGTCAATTATTTGTTCAGCACATTTTAAATGTACAGCGACAGAATTCAGAACATGGGGCGTTGTAACAGTATTGTCCGTAAGTCAGAACCGTAGGATAAATAAAGGGGGCATATAACCAGACAATGAAAGTTCTTACAATATTCGATGATGACATTTCTCGAAAACAGGCTATAGGCTACATGTGCACCACCAAGTCAGAACAGTAGGCAAAATTATGAGGGAAAAAGGGGACCAAATTATTAGGGTGAGGCACATGAGCTACTAACAGCTTACTACACAACATACACTTAGCATTACTTTCTTAGCTACAGTATACATTTCTCCCTGGCATATTACATCATTTATGCAGCAGCAAACAAGACATTTTTGGACTCAACTTGCTGTGCTCACTTGAACAGGAAGGTGGCGCGGCGGTCCTTCATCGGCCAATTTTGTCAAACTTTGTCATCAAAGTCTGCCATTTTCTGGATTTATGGTGCTTTCAAGACAACTGGGAACTCAGAAAAAAACAATGTCGAATCGTGACATTAGTGATTTTCAGGTCAGAGCTCTAGAAAGAGGCCCGAGTTCCTGACTTTCAAAAAGTATTTTCCCAGTCGGAGCTAATTTTTTTCTGAGTTCCCAGTTGTCTTGAACTCACTGAAGTCTGATATTTCCCAGTTGTTTTGAAAGTGGCAGATGTCATGCTGGATTGACAGCATGGCCCATGTTGAATGATTATCCTGTAAGCTTGGAAAAGAGACCCTTAAACCCAGAATTGGACCACACATCCACTCCACTGAATAGTAGGCTAGTGATTGCTTTGCCGTGCTTGCAGTTAGCCACTGATTCCTTCCAAACCACTCATTGCTGAATTTGCAATTTCCAACTTGTTGTGTAATGTTTATGTCCAATGGCCGATGAGCACCTATACGTTTTATCTATAATTTCTCTTCATAATTTCTCTTTATATGACAAGTATTGAAAAGGATTTGCCAGTAGATTGTCGACTTGATTAATGATGATGACTGCTAGCTTGATAGCTAAGATTTTTAAAGTATGATGTTGACATGAGCTAGGCTGAAACACCTGTATTTTGGAGCTGCCTTACGCAAGAATGCAAAAAAAGACCATATATATTATTAACTCAATTATTTATTCATGTTTTACATTGTTTGCAAACTTATATGTGACACGTATTTAAGTCAAAATAACATGCAAAACAGGCAACAACAAAAAATAAAATAAAAAATAGATACAGTACCAGTTAAAAGTTTGGACACACCTACTCATTCCAGGGTTTTTCTTTATTTTTTACTATTTTCTACATTGTAGAATAATAGTGAAGACTTCAAAACTATGAAACAACACATATGGAATCATGTAGTAACCAAAAAAGTGTTAAACAAATCAAAATATATTTTACATTTGAGATTCTTCAAATAGCCACCCTTTGCCTTGATGACAGCTTTGCACACTCTTGGCATTCTCTCAACCAGCTTTATGAGGTAATCACCTGGAATGCATTTCAATTAACAGGTGTGCCTTCTTAATAGTTAATTTGTGGAATTTATTTCCTTCTTAATGCGTTTGAGCCCATCAGTTGTGTTGGGACAAGGTAGGGGGGATATACAGAATATTTGGTAAAATGTTCGGCTATTTCAGCCACACCCGTTGCTGACAGGTGTATAACATCGAGCACACAGTTATGCAATCTCCATAGACAAACATTGGCCTTAATGGTCTTACTGAAGAGCTCAGTGACTTTCAACGTGGCACCGTCATAGAATGCCACCTCACAAGTTAGTTCGTCAAATGTGTGCCCTGCTAGAGCTGCCTCGGTCAACTGTAAGTGCTGTTATTGTGAAGTGGAAACGTCTAGCAGCAACAACGGCTCAGCTGCGAAGTGGTAGGCCACACAAGCTCACAGAATGGGACCGCCGAGTGATGAAGCGTGTAACGTATAAAAATCCTCTGTTGAAATACTCACTACCGAGTTCCAAACTGCCTCTGGAAGCAGCGTCAGCACAAGAACTGTTCGTCGGGAGCTTCAGTAAATGGGTTTCCATGGCCAAACAGCCACACACAAGTCTAAGATCACCATACGCAATGCCAAGCATCGGCTAGAGTGGTGTAAAGCTCGCCGCCATTGGACTCTGGAGCAGTGGAAATGCGTTCTCTGGAGTGATGAATCACACTTCACCATCTGGCAGTCCAACGGATGAATCTGGGTTTGGCGAATGCCAGGAGAACGCTACATGCCCCAACGCATATTGCCAACTGTACAGTTTGATGGAGGAGGAAGAATGGTCTGGGGATGTTTTTCATGGTTCGGGCTAGGCCCCTTAGTTCCAGTGAAGGGAAATCCTAATGCTACAGCATACAATGACATTCTAGACAGTTCTGTGCTTCCAACTTTGTGGGAACAGTTTGGGGAAGGCCCTTTCCTGGTTCAGCATGACAATGCCCCCATGCACAAAGAGAGGTCCATACAGAAATGGTTTGTCTAGATCGTTGTGGAAGAACTTGATTGGCCTATACAGAGCCCTGACCTCAACCCCATCGAACACCTTTTGGGATGAATTGGAACGCTGACTGCGAGCCAGGCCAAATCGCCAAACATCAGTACCCGACCTCACACATGCTCTTGTGGCTGAATGGAAGCAAGTCCCCTCATCAATGTTCCAACATCTAACGGAAAGACTTCCCAGAAGAGTGGAGGCTGTTACAGCAGCAAAGGGGGGACCAACTCCATATTAATACCCATGATTTTGGAATGAGATGTTCGACGAGCAGGTGTTCACATACTTTTGGTCATGTGGTGTATATTTAGATCTGGAAATTGGACCTGTGCAGTGGATGGATCCAATCCAATAAATATAACTGACTCAATTGTGGATTTTGATGTGTGCTTTTGGGTCATTGTCTTGCTGGAAGATCCACATG